CCAATCGTGACGGGGATCAATATTCTAAAAAAATTCACATTGACCCTAAAGAATTTTTGATACTTCACCCTATGACATTTCTTTGAGTAATGACAATTGGTTTTTAAATACAACAGACAAAGTAATCCCACTTAAAGTGTTTTTTTTGCAATTTGGTAAAGGTTTATGCTTACCTTCTCTTAACGTGAACGTACAGTCTTTGAATCCATTAAATGCATTGAAAATAATCTCAAAAGGGATATTAAAGATCTTCGTGATTCTGTTAGCATCCATTCTGTTAATTTTATCACATATGTTTTAACAATCCTGTTCGTTATTCGGAAATTCAAAAAAATATTCTTAAATTTTATTATGGTACTAAACAATTCGTTAAACATAACCCTGACATTATTTTTACTAAAGCAGATAAGGGAAACATTACGGCGGTTATTGGGAGAGATACATACGTAAAAAAAATGTATAATCTTCTTAATGAAGATGCATATATTAGAGTTGACCGTGATCCAACTAATAAATTAATTAACGATCTACATGAAATGTTAACTAGATAGAAATCCATGTCATATATTAATGACTTCGATTATAGGTTTTTAAATTGTACCAATGATGTTTTACCTGGTGCATATGGATTGTCAAAAATTCATAAACCTAATTATCAATTTCGCATTATTATTTCCTCTACTGACAGCCCATTGTATTGTCTTTCATGTGTTTTTACACAAAATTATTTATAAGAATATTTCCCCACCAGATAGTAGGGTTCTTAATAGTTTTGAATTTGTTTCGAAATTTGCTTCCGTACGAATTGATACTCATTATGAGCTTCTCTCGTTGGATGTGGTCTCTCTGTTTACTAACATTCTAAATGATTTAGCCATTTCAGATATTAATAATCGTTGGCAATTTATTCAAAAATTCATCCAATTCCTCGAGAGGAGTTCATTACTGCTGTCTCGTTTATTTTAAATTCAACATTTTTTTTAAATTTAATGACATATTATTATTTAATTATATATTATTAATTTAATGACATCATATATTATTTAATGACATCATATTTAAACAAACTTTTGGCAGACCTATTATCTCCTTTATCTTATCATTATAGCTGATATTATTTCACATGACTTAGAAAACCATATCAGGGCTCTTAGTAGAATTCCAATACTTTTTTTATTAGGTATGTGGATGACATTTGCTTAGCTTCTCCTCCTGATGTTATTGAAGTTATTTTACATATTTTCAATTCTTTCCACCATAGATTGCAATTCACACTTGAGAAATCTTCTAAAGGTGACTTTAATTTTTTGGACTTATGAATTAGTCTAATGGATATTTAAAGTTTGAATAGTACCACAAACATATCTTTTCAGGAAGATTTTTAAATTTCTACTCCTTTCACCCGTTATGTCAAAAAATTGACATAATCTTGCTAGACAGAGTCATCCTAAACATTACGAAAAGAACTTGAGATTGGTCATTAACATATTGATTGGTAACGGCTACTCATTAAAATTATTGTTTAGGATAATTAAACGTCGCCTTCCTTTTCTTTTTAAAAAAACTTCTCAGAATTCGGTTGGTTTTAGTGATTGCAATTCTGAAATTAGAACTTCCTTTTTCACCATCCCTTATTTGGGTTCTATTTTTGACCGTTTCAAATTTTCATTTGATTCAAAAACATTTAGATTAGCTTATAAAAGTCTTAATCAAGTTAAACTTAATTAATTTATTGGGATACACAAAGATTCTCTGCCGAGATTGATGCACAGTAATGTTATTTACAAGATGAATTGTATGAATTGTGATGTCATATGTAGGTCGAACAGGGAGATTGTTAAAAACGAGAATAGCGGAGCACCGTAGATCTCTCAGGAACAATTTATCTTTTGTTTCTGTTATTAAAACATAGCAAATTGACAATAACCATATCTTTTATTGGGAGAAATTCTCGATAAGCTCTTTAATTTCAAGCGTTTGATTTCTGAAATGCTTTTTGTTAAAAAACTAAAACATAAAAGTTTAAACAATCAGACAGACACAGAATTTTTAGGACAATGGTACTCTGATATCATCGTCAAATTTAAATTTTAATATTTGTTATTTGCGATCTCCTCGAGCAGTATCGTTTGTTATTACTGGTTATTTCTATCACACATTATTTGCTTCGAGATCGTCGTTCCGCAAACATATTTCTTTATATTAACTTTGTTCTCAGCATTCATAGCTAAATTTATAATGGAACATAAGCATTTATATTATTTTTTATATTTTCCTCTCTTTGTACGTATTTGGTGTGTTCACTTTTTTTATCTCATCCGAAATTATTTAATTTTTGATTTTTTCATTTAAATTAAGCTTTTAATTATTCGGAGAACTAATTAACTACTCTAACTAAGTAGTTGGCCCACCATCTACCTAAATGTTGTTGACCACTGTCGTCGATTTGACCATAAAAAGAAGATTTATTACTTTTGTTTGAATGCGAGTTCGATTTATATTTTCATTTGCGTTTTGCGATGCTTTACTTTAATTTTTTGTTCTTCCACAACAATTGACCCTTACGCTTATACTTTTATCTTTTATATTGTCTGAAGAGGACCAAAATCGGATCAAAACGTAATCTGTATGTTTTAGTCTTTATCACATTGTAATATATGATTGCACTCTAACAATCGTGTCTGGCTCTTATATGCTCTTTCTTTCTCCTTTATTTTTATCCTTTATTTTCTCCTTTATTGTATTTAATATTGGGAGTGTGAATAAGTTCTCGTCGTTTCACCATCAGATGGTGGTATAAAAATTTTGTGTGTATAATTCAAGATGATGACGCATCTATATTGAAGTTCTATAACCTATGTTTAAAATCAGTGCGTGTCTTTCCATTAACCTATAAAGAACATTTTCTTTTCGTAGCGTAAAACATATCAAATTTCGTGCCAAATAAACCGTTTTTGCGGGGAATTTTACTGCACTACTTTATTCAGAAGAAATCCGTAGATGAAGCACACAGAATTCTTGTAGAAACCTATGGTGATCATGCTCTGTCGGAAAGAACATGCAGAGATTGGTTTAACCAATTTAAAAATGGTGATTTTGATGCTCAAGATAGAGAACGCAGTGGTGCACCAAAAAAATTTCAAGACAAAGAATTGGAAACATTACTTGCTGAAGATCCATGTCAGACGCAATCCGATGTTGCAAAATCATTAGGAGTTGATCGAACAACAGTTTCGAAACGTCTGACAGCATTAGGAATGATACAAAAGGAAGGATCTTGGGTGCCATACGAACTGAAGCCGAGAGACGTCGAACGGCGTCTTGTCACGTGTGAACAGCTGCTTCAACGACAAAAAAGGAAAGGTTTCTTACATCCTATTGTGACTGGTGATGAAAAATGGATATACTACAGTAATCTCAAGCATAAAAAATCGTGGGTTAAGTTCGGCGAAGCAGTAGCATCAACGCCAAAGCGGAATATCCACAGTTCCAAGCTCATACTCTGCATTTAGTGGGATCAGCTGGGGGTAGTGTATTACGAGCTGCTCCAACCTAACCAAACCATCACAGGAGATCTCTATTGACGACAATTGATGCGTTTGAGCCGAGCATTGAAAGAAAAACGGCCGCAATATGAGCAAAGACACGATAAGGTGATTTTGCTGCATGATAACGCTCGGCCGCATGTCGCGTCACCGGTCAAAACATACCTGGAAACGCTGAAATGGGAAGTCCTACCCCACCCGCCGTACTCTCCAGACATTGCGCCTTCTGATTACTATTTATTTCGATCGATGACTAACGGCCTGGCTGAGCAGCACTTCACTTCGTATAAAGAAACGAAAAAATGGATCGATTCGTGGATAGCCGCAAAAGAAGTGTCGTTTTTTCGACGTGGAATTCAAATGCTGCCAGAAAGATGGGAAAAAGTAGTCTCCAGCGATGGGCAATATTTTAATTGACTTGTTTTTTTATTATTTTTTTTAAATAAAGAATTTATTTTCACAAAAAACGGCGAGAACTTATTCACACTCCCAATACATTAGAGCCAATTTTATGTTTTTAATAAATAAACATTGTCATTGTACATTCATTACGTTCAGTTCGACTATTTTGTTATGTTCGAGCCGCTGACGACGAAAGAAAATATGAAGTATTTGATGCGCGACGCTTGCGCTTCAGTAATTTCCGAAATATTATGAAATGTTAGGAATAATTTCTTATTTCAGACAAATAAATATTTAGTAATCCATGATGGACATTTTGAACTTTTAATAAATTGAATAAATCAGAGATTATAATGTTGCAATTTTATTTTCGTAAGTGCTTCATGTAGTATAAGTCGAAACTTGAAACTGTCGTATTTCTTAATAGAGGCATAAAAAATGTTTCGGATAAAACTAAGTTGTTTTTGTCCAATGAATTAAAAAATATAATTTTTCATAGGCATTTCCATTAAAAATTTTTAAGTTAACCCCCGTTCCACCCACGGGGTTTGGGGTTGGGGGACCAACCTCCATTCCAGTTTAAAGGTCGTTCAAATCCATATAATTCAAAACTTAAATCATTAAAATCGATGAAATAGTTTCCAATGTATCGAGTTGTTAATAGTTATATGGATCACCCCGTATAATGTATTTGATTTGATATGCTAGTGAATATAGAACTATGAAAAGAATCGAATGGAATGATATAGGATTAATGCCAGTATGTATTCGTTGTCTTAACGTATGTCACTTTTAAAGTTTATGAGCATTATAATCATAAAGTAACTACAAAATATGTAGAATTTTAGTTACTTCTACGTATATAAGAAGTTATTAAATTGCTCATTTGTAGATCTAATATATCTATCAAAATCGAAATAATCTGTCGGTTGTAATGCAGTCTGTTTATATATTAAATAATAGTCATAAATATATTATTATAAATTATATTTATAGTGCACACATACACACACACAAACACACATAATGTGTACCTTATTAGTTATTACTTACTTCCGAATCTCTACTTTCTACGTCAGCATTCGCATGTTCCAGTAGAAACCTGGCCATTGTCAATCTGTTTTCTAATGCGAGTATATAAAGAGTGCTTCTTCCATCAGCATCCTTTGCGTTAACATCAGTATTATGAAATAATAATGTTCTCACGGTATCATAATGTCCCTCTAAAGCTGCAAGTCTATAAGTACAACAGATAATGCACATATATATATATGTGTGTGTGTGTGTGTGTGTGTGTGTGTGTGTGTGTGTGTTGTGTGTGTACAGAATATATACAGGGTGTCCCACTTTAATCGATCATCTCAAGTATCTCTGGAACAGTGCATTTTAGAAAAAAATGTTTCAGATAAAAGTTTTGAAATTTCGAAGAGGACGTAAGATGATATTGGTTTAACCTCAAGTGGCGTCGTCAAGGTCAGGACAAGATCACTTTGAATTTTTTAAATGGACCACCCTTTTTCATTAAATATTCTTATAGCATACCTCGAGAGCTTTCCAAAACACTATAATAAAATATTTTTTCATTAAGTATCTTTCGAATTAAAAGTTACAATATTGTTGCCATTAGCATTGGTACATAAAGTGTTCGACCGACGACTAAAACCTTTTGAATGTTGTTCAGGGCCATGACCTTGACAACATTTGTCAAGGTCAAGGCGATTAGAGGCTGTCCCTAATATTTTTATTTCTTCAAATTTTACAGTGAAAACGAAAATAATAATTTAAAATCATGGAGTAACATGTGCGGCACGATTAATCCCAAAAAGTCATATGAAAGTCACAATGTTCTTTGTGTCAAAATAATAGCTCGTAAACTAGACGTAAAGTCGTTGATCGGTGATCCATTAATTTAAAACAAAGCCATTGCTAATCCAGCCACCTAAGGCAAAATCGTATTATTATTTTCGTTTTCACTGTAAAATTTGAAGAAATGAAAATTAGGAACATCCTACAATCGTTTCGACATTGACAAATGTTGTCAAGATCATGGCCCTGAACAACATTCAAAAGGTTTTAGCCATTGGTCGAACACTTTGGGTACCAATGCTAATGGCAACAATATTGTAATTTTGAAGCTTTTTAACTCGAAAGATACTTAATGAAAAAATATTTTATTATAATGTTTTGGAAAGTTCTCAAGGTATGCTATAAGAATAGGTAATGAAAAATGGAGGGTTCCATTTAAAAAATTCAAAGTGACCTTGTCCTGATCTTGACAACGCCACTCGAGGTCAAACCAATGATATCATCTTATGTTCCCCTCGAAATCCCAAAACTTTTATCTGAAATATTTTTCCATAAAATGCACTATTCAAGAGATATTTGAGGTAATCGATTAAAATGGAACATCCTGTATATGTATATATATATATATATATATATATATATA